TAATTTTTTTAAATATTTATCTTGATGGTAGTAATACCTTTAGAAAACAATGAAACCTAGATCGAGAAAGACACGGCCTCTTCAATGGCAATGCTGGAGAAGATCGATAGGATAAAAACGGAATTACAAACTGCTAAGCAAGGATTGCACGAAGCCGACAATTGGACAGTATTAGCGAATGACGTGGAAGAGGTATATGAAAATTCCAATTGGTTTCTTCATATATTTTGATATGATATGCGATAATTTAATTATATTGTTTCCTTTAATTTTAATATAACAGGTATTCGAGTCTGGCGATATAGAAGCTATATCTAATAAATTGTTCAGCATGCAGAAATCACTAGCTATGCTTGCGAATGTTGTCGATTATGAGGATAAAAAGCTGCAGCTAGAAGGCTTGAAAAATCGCCTCGAGGCGATAGCTAGTCCACGATTGGTCCAAGCTTTTACTGCTGCCAATTTAGGTGAAATTTGCAAGATCGAAATTAATTCATTTATCTTGCAAGATACGATATAATAATGTCATATTTTGTTTAGAACAATCGAAAACTTACGTGGATATCTTTGGTAAGATGGAACGTCTCCCTCAGCTTCTCAAATATTATCACAACTGCTTGAAGGTCTCTTTAGGTCAAGAATGGAGACGCACTATTGAATTAGCACAAGATGAAAATGTTACTTATTGGCTACGTGTATATTATGATAAATTGTTATCCTCTTGGCATGAACAGGTATGTATATGCGCGGTCTTTGTCAGATCAAAATATGATTATTGCTGCATTACGAATATTTTCTATAACTGTTTATGTTAAAGGTGAAATGGTGCCATCAAGTCTTTCCTAATACTTCAATAGATATTCATGTTGAGGTTTACGCTGACCTTTTAAGGAGCCTCGATCCGGGTATTCCAGAATGTATAGAGGCGATTCTCAAACAACATTCGAATTCGGTGCAGTTGACCATTCTACATGAATTGAAACAGATGACGAAGTATTTTGCTACAAACCTGAACGGTGCTATCGAAACGTCGCTTCGCGGAAAATTGCAGAATGAAAAATTACTGTCACTAGCGCAAGCTGTATATGCCCCTTATGTTCCTTACATTGCGAAATATAGCACGTTCCAAACTGCACAGTTAGAACACCATCTACAGTTTTGGCATCATTCGCATGATGATTTAAGTGATACTATCAACTCCCTTTCTCTTAGTATTTCGCGGATTATGGGCTATGCTAGCGACGCTAATAAGCAATGTAAGCTTTTTACAGAAAGTTGTGGATATCCCGGTTTACTGCAATCGTTAAACGTATGTTTATATTAAAGATTTTTCGCTTGTGTCAACGCCATGGTTATAAAATGAATTTTTTATTAAGCTGGCGAACTATGTTGTAGATTTTTTTCAACAAATACCTTGAGAAATATCAACAAGGTCTGAGACAACTTGAGAGAAAGAAAGTGAAACATGAAGATTGGAATTTATTCCAAATGTGTCTTACGTTGATGCAAAATATAGGTAAATATATAAGTTTTAGCATTCAGTTTTGTATATGACATAAACACGAAATTAATGTAATTTAAATTGTATTGCTGTACAGGTGATCTCTTGCATCAAGTTCAACAATTTGAAAAATCGCTCGTGATCGACATAACGGAAGCTAGTAATAAAATACAAAACACAAACGGTAGCGTTTTCTGTCAATATAAAAAATTACTGTTAACTTCGACAGGATGCGCCGATCTAGAAAATCTTGTTGCATCTTTCCAAAGAGGTATGTATACGCGCGTAGTCATAATAATTATAATATTATGGGAAATAAATTATTTAATTTTTTGCTTTTTTTTTGCAGAGGATAAGACAATTCTCGATTCCATTATAAAATCTATTCAAAAACTCTGCACTGATTTACATCATATCACGTACGAAGTCATTTTTGCGCCAATATTCTCTCAATTATTGCTGGTGCAAAAGGCACCGGCTTGGACATTGGAGGCTAACAAAATGTCCAATCTAAGTTCAGATTTACCCGATTATAGTTTCGCTCCTCAAGAGTATATCACACAAGTCGGACAGTATTTAATGACGTTGCCACAGCACTTGGAACCATTTCTGTTGAGAGACAATCCGAGTTTAACGCAAGCGTTGAAAGCAGCGGATCCACAATATGTTCAAGGCTCAAGTGAATCTGGATTTACTAGTATTCTTTTGGACATTATTGCCCGAGGAACGTGTCAAATGTTCCAGGATCAAACCTTAGGCATCTGTCAATTGAATTCCGTTGCTTGCAAACAGCTCGCAACTGATATTGGTAAAGATCTTTCTTTATCTTTAACTTTACAATTTTTGAAGAAACTATGAAGGGACATAAATGAAAGTTATTGTGTATTGTAGATTATCTGGGCAATGTACTGGAGGAGCTCGGTCTGTGTTTATCGGAAAATCTTCAACACATGTCCTTACTGTTGAGATTACCGTCCGAGGATTATCAAAATGGTAGTTCCGGATGCAATGCTCGTGTCGTAGCTGCAGTCAGACAAATGCGCAATATTACGTCTTCCGGCTGACACAGCCCGTGTCAAACCGGACACGATGTCACAATGTGAGAAATTTTGTTTACCGTTCCATGCATTTTTAGCAAAACTAGTGATTTCGCGCGCGATATTTGTACAATATATTTGCGACTATTCTATAAT